CCATTCATTCCTTGCCGTTTCCAATCGGCGTTGCCTCCCGCACCCGGTCAAGGGAAACACAGATGAGGCTGTCAAGGAAAACACATAGCCGCAGTCCCTAACGAGTGATGTCTATACACTCAGCCCCTGTTTTTGCCCCCCCCCCCCCCCCCCCCCCCCCCCCCCCCAGCCTTGACATCCACTCCTTGGTGATGCTTCGAAAGGGTTTGATTCTGACGAGCTTCTGTGTCTGCATAGGCTGGCTGCAATGGTCTCCATCTCGATCAGCCTTAGCTAAAGGCGTGCTCTAGCCAGACACTCAGGCACCAGATTGGGCCAGACAGGCGCCCTCCAAAACGCTGTGTACAAGCCGCAAAGACGCGCTCTCAAGACGAACAAGGACATGGCCTGGATACTTCTCACCCACGTATCACTGTGTAGAGGCATGCGTGCTTGCTACATACGCTCTCCAAGCTCTGTCTCGGTGCTGTTCACCGCCACGTCGGGTTCCCGTCAACTCACAATGTCTGCAAAACTCTGCTTCATTACCATGCGAGAACGGCGGCGAGGGACGGCAAGTCGTCACTGCGACCAGGTTCAGCCCTAGCCCGCGAGGGGAGTGCACCTATCGCTCAGACGTGGGGTACATGGGAGGTACGACCGAAGATGAGGCGCTTTTTGGGCAGCCAATACCACCTTTTCCGACCAATTTGGGGTCGGTAATGGCACGGAATGGGCCTTGTTGCCGCCATCAAACGGAACTCGCGTCGATTAAAAGAACCGTCCATGACATCTGGAGACCAATGCATCCGAAAGCCCACGTAGTCGCTGCAGGCTTTAACAGGACGGCAAGGGCTTGGGCACGTACATCATTCGAGTTACAGGTACATACTTGATAAACGACTATCAGCGACAGCTAGCATGTATCGGCTGGACCTCTGCAGGAAAGCAAGCCGATTTGCTTCCAAAGTGCTGTTGGGTGGTATCCCGCGGCTGTTCCCTTCCCTGTGGATGCCACTAGCACTCGGTCAACCGGCGAATGGGTATAATGGACGAACAGGACTCGGGAACGTGAACATACCCAAGCTGTTCGAAAAGTGTGCCGGGCTCGAGCGAGAACCGGAGGCGAACTGAAGGAACTCGGGAACACAGAGGGCCTCTGTGCAGTTCGTCTCACAAGCTTAGCTATCCTTGAACACCCAGATGGGGAGCTAGCTGTTCGGACTCAGCTACAATGGTCATGAATCGAGATCGGCTGACATCGCAGATGGCAATACCAATCGAAGAGATGTCATCAGATTGCTCGTAAACAACCTGTCTCAAATAACAAATGCAGGTAGCAAACGAAGCAGTCTCGACAGGCAGTCGCTGCTGTATTCGGGCAGCAACAGCGAAACAACAAGCGGAGAAATGCCGTCATCCTATATTTGTTTCCCTTTGTTTCGGTTCTCCATCAGGTCCTCACTCGTCTGTCACCAGCCAGCTGGCCAGCTCATCTTTTCAAACGCTACTTGAGTTATCCCAACTTTTCGGTCCCGGCCTCATATGTTTTCCTTGAGGCTGTGTCTTCCCTCCTAACAACTTGCAACTATCACGGCTTGTTGCTTTGGCTACATGCCAGCCTTGTTTGTTGTGGTGTGTGGAATGAGTCAACAGAAGATACGACCGCTTGGACCGTTCACCGTGCACAAACTGCGTCTACCAGGTTCCCAGAACCCCATGGAGGAGGCTGACACGCAACGAGAAGCCAATAGTCTGTAACATAAAATCGAAAGGGTACGTGGGTGGTTCAACCGCCGCCAAAGCAGTCCGCTCACAGCCCGTGGCCGTCATGTTGGGCATGCTTGATACTGTCTTCGTCAAGGCCGAGCAATCCTGGAACTTGCAGTCCGGACCAATCCAACATGAAGGATAGCCATCAGGAGGCTCCATAAAGGGCGAACTTTGTTTCTTTGGTCTAGCCGCCCAAACCCACGCCTGGAGCACTTGGTCCAACACCGAGCAATTTCTATCTTTCTCCAGAACAACGAGCTCGTGAGGGAACGCGAGTCGTGGTCCTCTTCCGTGCGTACACGGCCCTACTGCCCTTCATCAGGAGCCCTGATCCTTGGTGTATGAAAGGGACAATACTGCAACAGAAAGTTGACCGCCAGTTCATCGGTTCTCGGTGTACAAAGCAGTGAGGCCGTCTGTGACTCGGTGGTATTTGGTGGCATAAACTGCGGGAAGTTGCGCTGATACTCTCTGCCACGAGGAGCATTTGGCCGCTTCCGCAAGCACAATTCCATTGTTGACGATTGTCTGGCAACCTGCCAGGCCAAAAGCCAAACGATGTCCAAGACAACCTGGGTTTAACAAAGAGTGTGATCAGATTTCAGAGCAACAAGCTCCGAGACGCACAGACAATTGAGGCCGTTTAGTCTCCCGCACTGTCACCAATTAGCAACGAAACCCCTGTTCCGTATCCGACTTGTTGCCGACGGTTTGATCGCCATGTTCAGTCGACGTCGTGTCCGCGTAGGAGATGTGGAGCGCTTCAGAGAGCCATCATCCATGCAACTACCATTGCCCCAAGCTCAGTGGAGGGCGGCGTCACTCTTGTGCCTCTTAAAAGGTGGTAAAAGACTAAGCCATCTCCCAAGATACTCGCATCGTTGCGCACAATGGCAGTCGATTTCTGAAATATGGTCAGCAATCATGGGTACGGAATGAACACCCCAAGAACAGCTTCAAACCCGTCTACAACGGTATGTATCATCACCTTGCTCAGAGAGGATCTCGGGCCAGCAAAAGCCCATGTCCTACGGCTGCAAAGCGGAACGATGACTATCGTTGGGTCGACATGGGAATGTTGCTGGAAAGCGGGAAAAGGTTCGCGTGCCGCGCTCCTGCTTTTCTTTCTTTTGCACCCTGATGACTGGCCCCGTTGCGCCAGGCGGAATTCACGAGCGGAGGAGAGCTCCATACCAGCATAGCGATGTTGCTCGTTATTTCTAACATATCCGTGATGTACTGCGAATATTGATTCAGTTCGAGGCTCCGCAACCGTGAACCAGGACGTTCGAGTCCATGTCTGTATAACGCAAAGGGTTTATTGAGGGAGGGGATCCAACACAAACGGGACCACGAAACTAGCAAACATCAACGGGTGGTACCGTCGTAATGGAGGGTGGTGTGTGCGTTAATGTTCCCCACTAGATTGGTGAGATTGGTTTTCAACGTCCGCCAGTTCACCAGCTTCGCGGAAGGCCCAACAAGTATTTATGGGTACTTGACAAGACGCAGTCTCAGTATCCTCGCAAACCTAAGAAGTTTGATCTCCGGCTCTGTATGTATCTTACCATTCATCAGTCTCTTTGGCCAACCTGTTCCATCTCTTGGGCCTTGCTGGGCTTGGCTATTAGAACTACTACCTAGCCCTGAGCCCATTCTGCCACCAAATCCTTAACTGCCGCCCGATTCGCGGCGCTGACGACAGTTTGATACAGTGGGACAGGAGATAAAGCCCAACCGTACCATTCAACACAACACATTTTGTTCAGTTTCCACCCAACCGTTAGCATCGCCTTAAAGTCTCAAAAGGCCCCAGGTGTGACAGCGTATCGTAACGGTGTTTTCTATCCATCTTACACTAAACTCTTTTTATGCGGGAGACTGCGCACCGATTGCGCCCTGCTTCTTGAGAAGCGAGAAGGATACTTTTCAACTACAGAAAAAGATGATGCGTGGGGAGGTGTTGGTCCGGTACACTGCCATGCTTTATGCATGACTTCGTGTCATTGCCCCTGGTCGACTACGCTCCTAGCTTGCATGTAAGCCAGGTACCAAACAGTCTCCCCGTCCGGCATTTGAGCCTCTGGGAAAGATTTCTGTCCTGTACGGTCAGGAGTTCATCGCCATGGCGGGTTCCGATCGGTCCACAGTCCGGAAGAAATTGGCTGCCTCTTCGGTGACGTGTGCTTTGCCGAGCACGGGTCCGGAGACTGCTTTCACAGATCTTCATGCCCCACCGTTCGATAGAGGCATGACAGCTGGAACGGTACTGGCTTGTGAGAGAATCGTCCTGACTTGTCAGTCAGCCTGATGTGCCGAATCGATTCCCAGGACAGGCTATCCGGTTGTGACGCTGCGGCCACTATCGAAGCCCATTTGAACCTTCCTTTTGCCCAAGACGCTGTGTGGTAGGACCATAAGGCGTAAAGTATCTACTTAAAGCCGTGAGTTTTTCAGAACGGACCAAGCTCAACGATATGCCCACGTTGGATTGTGGACGTGTGGCTGCCATGAGATGGAGACCGACCCTGTCTGGAACTCTGGATGTCTCTCCGGTGTGTTATTGCTCTAGTTGCGGACCCCCTACCCAGGCGCATCCGTTTACAGGGACCTCCATGACATCTAGGTTCCGTTCAGTACATCGTAAGTTCTCATCACCAGTACTCCACGTTAAACAAGCACACTCTCTCTTTATACGCTCACGCCCCCCTTGTTATGCCCATGTATCTGCTCTCTTGGCTGCGAGTATGATGCTTTCAGATCCGTACACGCCCATAAATCCTTTGCATTTGTATCTTTTGACGATTCTATCGTCCCTAGTTTGTATTCATCTCTTTCATAGGAGATCCTGGTCTTGTCACGCACCAGCCTCGCCGCCTGGGGAGGTATACAGTTTTCGAGCTCAGAACTCACCTTTCACCCCAATCTGCAAAGCGCATGTTCCCGGGAATCGCTCAAACCCTTCTTCCCTGCTTCTTAGCTCTGACCTGGCACCGGACGAAAGCTCAAAATATGGAAGAATAACCGTTTCCTGAACGGAGCTCCAGTTGACCAGTTCATAGATAGAGCAGTCATACGAATTGGCTCTGTCTTTCTGCTCATTAGCCTCGCCCTGAGACCATTGGTCCGAACATCACCAATCAACAAACAGACCATCTCGTTCAGGAAGATAAACGACCAGCTCCTTCCGGCTGGATCCCTTTTTCTCGGTCAAAAAGGCACATCTTTGGATCGTTTTCCTTCCCCACATGTCTTTGCGCCTCGAGACACCCTTCAACGACAAATCAACCCCTCCTAACGGTCTCACAACAAGTCTTGACCTGCATTAGCAGAAGGATTCAAGATCCACCTTCTCAGCTTTCATAGCACTTTCGAATAGCCCCGAAGAACTATAACTTCGACGTATTCTCCTCGAGAACTACTCGATCATCCATCACTCCGAACCTACCGCGCCAGCTAAGACAATCCAACCGCGAGCCTATTCTTCCTAGGTCTATGAACATCTCTCTATTTTAGTGGAGTCTTTGTAGATACCGCCATCGTGGATATCGCATCACTCCTCAAACGTTCCGACTCAGATGAGGCCCCCGTGGCTCATTCCCGATACGCATCCACAACGACAATACCGCCTACCACAACGGTGGCACCACCTGCTCTTGGCGGTTCATCATCCGCCACGCTTGCTCCAGCCACTGGCACCCGATCTCCGAGATCTAGCGGTGCCGGCGGACCAGGAGCAGGAGGCAGTTTGGGGAAATCAGTGTCAGGAAGCGTCAACTCAGTTCGTCCGGGAAGCGGCGGCGGGAAACGAACCATGCCACCACATACATCTGAGTCGCCAGCTAAAAAGCAGAGCAAATGGTCGCCTGAAGAAGACGCACTGATCATCGAGCTTCGCGGAAGCGGGATGAAATGGGACGATATCTCCAAGCGTCTACCGGGTCGGAGCTCTATCAGCTGCCGTCTTCACTACCAAAACTACCTCGAGAGACGCAGTGAGTGGGATGAGGAGCGCAAGAACAAGCTGGCAAGGCTCTACGAGAGGTAAGTTTAGACTCCATTCTCCCAGCAGAGATCATACCTAACAATCCACAGGTTTAAACCCGAAATGTGGGCCAAGGTTGCTGAAGAAATGCAGGTTCCCTGGCGTGCCGCCGAAGCAATGCATTGGCAGCTGGGTGAAGTCGACATGGCCAGACGAGCGGGAGTTGTTCCCTTCGCGCTGACTACAGCAGCCTTGGGTGATCCTTCAGTCATGCATCATCGAATGCCTACTTCGAGAGGCCATCATGGTCACTCTCAGTCTCAAGGAAGCCTCCCGAGAGATATTCCCACTATGCCTTCACCAAGGTACAGCCGCGGCCCCCCTGGACCTCTCATACCACCTCCTTCGTCCGGCGGACGGCCACTGGCAGCTCGACGCGAAAGCTTACCGACACGATCGTCCTTTGCACCACCCCCTCCGCCACACCATCACAGCGACCCCAGCGGCTATTCGTTGGCGCCAGCTATAGGTCTGGCTCCCATCCATACATCGAGCTATACTCATCAGAGCCGTGGGGGAATGCTGCCCAGCGTCGCCGAATTGACGACCGGAGTAAGCCCCTACAGCACGCCTGCATACTCGACGGGTGGCATGACCAGTATGGTGAGCCCAACCCACAGTGACACGGCTAGCCCTGGACCAACTCACCCTGGTTACTCGGCCTATCCGCCCCTGGAACCACTTGGAACCGTCAAAAGACGGGCAAGTCCGGAAGCAGGAGGGATACGTGAGACAAGCAGGAGACGGCATCACTTCCAGCCTCGACAGGAGGACGGTTACTCGCCTATTGGACCGCCACCTGGCATGACATCGTCACGACGTGGACAGAGATTGGAGTGAGGGAGCCAGTAAAGAGCGAAAGAAGCTTTGGATGGTGTAATTGAAGGAAAATCTAGACTGCTTCTGTTGGACGAGCTATCACGCATGAAGTTACGTGGTTGAGCTGGGATACTCCGAGGCCGAGGACACGCTTTCTCACCATCAAAGCTTTCAGCCCGAACCACGACGAGTGTTTTTCCATTCTTCCAGACACGCCCCGCTTACGTGTTTGGTGTCATCAGCGATTCAATAAGCACACGCCTAGAACAGATTAACTTTCGTCTTCCCTCAGCGTCACGATCAAACAGGCACAAACACAAACTTTTCATTACCACCGTGACGGGTTTTTATTCGGTTTTATTCGGTTTCGGCTCGGCTTTTCCTTTCCTTTACTTGATACCACAAATCTAGCACAAAACTCGGATACAACATACGGACACGGATACCGGAAACAGGATACTTTGGATACCACACAGACACACCTCAGATACCAGAACCAGTTCATTCGGAGGGAAACTAATGAGGTAGCTTCTACTTTCACACATTCTGTTTTTTTTTGTTGTTGTTTTTGTTTCTTTTCACACATGTACAGCTTAGTCCCACACGGTTATTTCCTTTGTCCGGTTCAAGGTTCAAACAATACACATTCACCAGAAACTTTGGGTCCCCAATACAACACATTTATCTCACAGTCTCTTGTTCCCCCCTCTCATGATTCCTGGAACGATTTGATGACATCAGAACACGATATGGCTCTCCTTTCTTTCTTATCTCTGTGTTAGGTTCTCTTCCTCGGTTTTCTTTTTCTTGGGCGTGACTTCTGGAAATCTCAGTAACACAATGGGCTTCTTCGGCCTGTCTCACCTGTCTCACCTGTCTCACCTGTTACACCTCATGTTTCCTTTTCCTTGGTAAACATTTTTCAATTGATCACCTTGATAAACTCCCCCCGAAATGACTAGAACTCAGATCAGATGAGATAGAAAGGCATTTTCTTTGGGAGACACAGCTGGGCAACATGATAGGCTGAACTAGCGGGTTTCTTTCATTCTGTCATTTGCTGGGATGGGACCGGGACGGGAACTACCTAGGCAACGAAAATTTAAAACGACCATTCAACGACGAAAACAACCATTCAAGCTCAAGGACGGCGCGGCGCGGCGCGGTGCGGTGAACAGGACTACCAACGGAAAACGGAACACGGAACACGGGACACGGAAAATACATGGCGAAAACGGCGGGATCAAACGAGAACCATACATTCGGATTGGAAGCAAAAGGAGAAAAATCAGCTTGTTTACATTTCTTTTTTATCGTCTTCGGAGATTTCTTAGGGGCTTTCTTTGGGGTAAGCATAGAATGAGAACAGAAAAAGATACACAACGGGATTAGGTACGGATCAGGGTTATGAAACTATCATTTTGAACGAATAGGAAAATCAGTTCATCAGTCCTTGCTTTGTTTTGGTTCGAGAAAATCACCACTCCGGTTCGGGTTGGCTGACAAGTCGAGGGAAATCCGAAATTACTCATTAGAGAAATCTCGAAGGCCCCTTAAGCTGTAGCTTCGTGAAACGTGAGTAATCTAGTATCAGGTATCAGAATTGTCGTTTGACAAAATAACGGTAAGATTTGGCATGGACGATTGGATACGGATGAATTCCATTGTTTAGGTTGACAAGGGGTTTCAGCCTAGTTAAGGGGGCTCGGGGGTTGCAGAAACGGAGATTGGGTAGATCGGAAACGGGATCTCAAAAAGAAGGCTTGCTACTAGCTGTACGATAAACGACGGACGGAGACGGGGACGGGAGTGAAACTAGCTTGAAGATTCCTCGGGTACCTAGAGTACTAGATAGACACTAGGTGACATATACTACTGCCAACAATTTCCTACCTAAACATAGACGTAGACTACTGCACTAGGAACATCAGGAACATCAGAGAAACGACAGGAACACCAGGGACACGCCAGGGACGAGGTTCCAAAACCAAAAATACATACATATCCACCGTGTGATCACATCACGTCAGAGTTGCCCTGGTTAGTTCAAGGTGGATCAAGTCAAGTCAGGTCATGAGGACAACACCATCTGTCCCATCTCCCAATGATCGGGTTCAGGTTCAGGTACCGTTCGCTAATCGGTTCAGGTTCAGGTCCCAAGAACGGAAATCAGGGAAAGGAAATCAGGGCAAGGGGTAAGTCCGTACATAGGACGACCAACTGCAAGTCACCATTCACGCCTGCGGTAGTGTAGTGTTAAAACCAGGAGACAGAGACGGAGACATGACGCAGGGGTAGGGGCTCTGTCTGCATGATCGGGGTTTGGTTTGAGGGTGCTTTTTGGGCCAATCGCTCAAAGAGCTAGCAGTAGCGTCAGGCACCGGGACGGTGCCAGTGGGTAGGAGGTCTTGGGTGGGTTGATGTAATGTAATGTGGAATGGAGTCATAATACACTACTCTTTTTTCTGTTCTATTCTTTCTTCCAGTAGGCATTGGTAGACTGGTAGATCGGTTCTCTTCGCTGCCCTTGAACACTTCAAGCTGGTCGCCGATTCAGTCCTGAGTCTGCCGACAAGACACATGACTACCTATGTTTGTACACTATCGTCATTGGTAGCGTGGGTAGCCACGACCCACCAGTTGTCGCGCTCATATCCGCTCATGACGACTGCGCCTCGCGCTGCCAACACATCCTCTTCCAACTCACCTTTACGGTAGAGGTGGTAGTAGCGCTGGAAGACTGGGTCGGCGTTGGCGGCGACACCCCCGGTGTCGGTCTTGGCATCAGGGCCAGCCGCCGCGGCTGCGGCTGCGTCTGCGTCTGCGCTTGCGGGTTCGGTTACGCCCGCCCCCGTGCCGCCGCCGATCGCCGTGCTAGTGTCTTTCGGGATGGACGATGATGATAATGTTGATGATGATGTTGGGGTCGCCTCCTTTTCCCCAACACTTTCAGCGGCGATAGCTTCCTGTGGCTCGCTACTACTCTGGTCCTGCTGCTGCATTGGCGTATTCACCTGCTCCTGCTCCTGCATCTGCTGCTGCTGCCGCTTTTGCTTCTGCTTCCGGGGCTTTGGCTGCTTTTCCTTCTTGGGTTTGGGTTGTTGACTCTTCAGCACCCAAGGGACCAACAGATCCTGCTCTCCGCCCTCGTCCCATCCACGACGACTCTCGCCCTGCTCCAATGCCCAGACGTACACCATGACTTGGCCGCCGGGTCTGACGCATTTCAGGAGCTGTCGAATGGCCTCCTGTCGCCTAGCCCGGGTGGACATGTGGTGGATGACGGCGATGCAGATAGCAAAGTCAGCTCGGCCTTCACGGAAGGGCAGCGATAGCCCATCGGCCACCAGCACGTCGTTTGCCACTGCCACCTCCCTGACTGTTTCTTTCCCAATGACGGCATTCGGAGCCTCTGACTCACGCTCGCCGTCTGCTTGTGGTACCTCGCCTTTTTGCTTCTTCTCCTTCTTGCTGCCACCTGTTTGGGCTCTCGCGACTTCAGCTTCAGGCAGCAGCTGCTGCTGCTGCGGTTTCTGTAGCTCCATCACACGCTCATTGGCATGGGAAACAAGATTGGCACTCCGATCCGAGCCCACCATGAAGGTGTTCTTGTTGACACCCAAGTACTTGCCATTGCCACAGCCCACATCGAGACCTACGTATCCAGGCTGCTGGGCATGCAGGAACTGGGCCACGGCAGGCCAGGGCTTGTACCGCGTGGCCGAAAAGTGCGGTGCAATAGCCTCGTACACGTTGTGAACGTTGGCACGCTCGTAGGCCTCCGCCTCAACTTCTGGGTCCACCGCTACTGCTGGGGTATCTGAGGAGGGCACCACAGTGACGGCACCAGCGTCCCCGGCTGCACTCGCACCTTGTGCGGTACCTGAAGCTGTCTCTGTACTACTGCCAGGGGCAGAGGCGGCAGAGGCGGCAGTTGATTTCAAAGCTTCCGCTGCTGCCAGTTTCGCAACAGCATCAGCCGCTGACGCGGAGGGCAGTGAATGTGACCCCATCTTAGCGGGGAGTGACAAGGTAAGGAGCGAAGGTCAAGGAAACGGCAATGCGCACACAAGCTAGGGGGACTTTGTTGGCAAGGTGATAGCCAGGGGTAGTGAACTCGGGGCAACGCAAGACAAAGCAAGCAAGCACAAGGCGGTGCCTAGGTGAGATTCCGAATTGAATGATACCCAACTCAACCACTGGGCTCCAAAAAATCTCTTCTTTTCTCTCCCGACAAGCTGGAATTACCCCTGAGACTAGAGCAGGAGTGCGTGGGTAGGAGAGAACTGGCCAGCAAGAGCGATCAGGCGGATGGAGGGTCGGGGAGGTCGGGTAATGGGCCGGGTGGGCTTAGCTGGCCGGGCAAGGTGGAATGGTGTGTTGTGAAGGTGTTGCGTGTATTGTGTTGTCCAGGAAGTTGCGTTGTCCGGGCTGTGTTTTTCTGGATCAAACGGTTAGGCCGTTACCCCGCAGACCGAGAGTGAGCACGGAAGGGCGAGTCTAAGATCTGAGTGACCGAGTCTGAGATCCAAAGTCTGATGGTGAGGACGTTGACTCGTACGCGTGCAAGACAAGTCTCTCAACACAACACACTTGACCGCTGGTTCGGGCGAGGCTGAGCTTTGCGCAGTGAACCTCCAGGCTAGACCCAAGTGTCTAAGAGGACCGGATGAGCAGCCGAAGGAGACGACAGTTGGGGGGTGGCTGTCTCAATGTTCGGACGCCGGCTTGCAGGCTGCAGGACTTGCGCAGGAGTCGCAGGGCTGGTGGCTCCTTGCCGTGTGCTGGCGCGCTTCGTGCCTCTTCCAGAAGATCCGGTGGCCGTCCGTATAGTGTAGGGCGTCCCGGGGATGATGGGCAGCACAATGGGTTGGGATGGGGGTGCAGAAGACGGCGATGGGATTTAACAAACAAACGCACTTGGCGAGGTGTGAAAGGTCAGACGTGAAAAAGAAAGAATAGTGGAGAGGGTGCAAGGTTCCACCACGGCAACTCCTACCGCTACCGCACCGCTACCGTTCTGCCCTGCACAATGCATGATCAAGGATGCAGTGCCGCCCACGAACGGTGGAGTGATGGGGCAACGTCTGTCCAGCAAGTGGTGAGAGGAACAGCTGCCCGGGCCCCGGGCTTGTAGAGTTCGCTCAGGTCCCTACCACGCTGACTGCATCCCTGACCCATTGGGCACTGAGACCAATTGAGCCAATCCGAGTGGTTCGGAGCTGGCAGCCTGCAGTAGTTGGGTTCTGAAGAAACAGCCATGTCATCACCACGGCCGAGGGGAGTTCGTGACGTAAAACGGGTCGACATGGGCGTTCCCGTCGCTAGTGTACGTTCGTTGACGAGGTCCGCTGTTCGAGAGAACGGAAGAACGTCCAAGTAGAAAGATGAAGTGATGCAGTTGCACTGACCGGCATCATGGAGCTTTTCTCCCCTAGCACTCCTAGGTAGGTACCCCAATATCAACACGACCCCCAACTCCCAAAAAAGACCCCCAAAGTGACGTCTGTGCGTGACGGGCTGACGGCGGCTGACGGGCGTCCGCATCCATTTTCTCTCGGAGCCGCGCCAGCCTTTGACGGTTTCTTCAACATCATCACAACAGTCGCCGTGTACGACGACAGCCCTCGCTCACTCGGTAACATTTGCCGGTCTGTAAAACCTGCTCAACCTTGCTGTGTACCGTCTTACAGACCGAGTCTGACTCTGATCGGACCCAGAGATGTGGACTCTAGAGGAACCAGAGGGGGCCCGAACGTGCCTGAGGGTGCACAGGTCTAACTGGTTGTGAGGCTACATCATCGCTTGCTGGCCAGTTTAGTGCCCGCACGCAAGGGGGGACTCCAGCTCCTGCTGGCACGACACAGAGCGAGGTACAAGGCCGCTACATGAGGGGAACATGGAGACACCTCCAGGTACTTGTTCATCCGACACGTTGGGGGTGCATCCATCACAAGTCTTCTCGTTGGTTGCGACATTGAATAATTCTCCGATCTCACTTCTCACTTCTCCCATCGATTGACTCCACGTTGGCTCTAATGAACAGCAGTTCGAGCTCGGCTGCAATGCTGCGCTGCACACTGCACGCTGCTATGCACTTCAGCTGACGACCTCCTCTAGGTAGTCACTTTACCTCTTGCCCGTGTTCAGGGGGCTCTGCGCATCAAACACATCAGTCGTGATCAGGTCGGGATACGTCACTCCGCCCTGCTTCAGCGCTTCGTCCATCACCTCCATGATCACCAGGCTCTCCTCCCACGGCATCGACTCGCTCTCCTTCTTGCCGTCCCGGATGCAGCGCGCGCACTCGTCGGCCTCCCAGAACATGCCGTGGCCCCAATCATCCCGCTCGGGATCCTTGGGGATCGAAAAGTCGACCGTCTCGATCTTGCCGCCGGCATCACTTCGGATCACCTTGTACTGCAGCGGCCGGTACGCCGGTCCCGTCACGTGGATCTCGCCGCCGGAACCCTGAATCCGGATAGCCGGTCCGCCCGTGTTCTCCTTGTCCACCCCGGTAGCCAGCCGGAGAGAGGTGAGGGCAATGCCCTGGCTCTTGTGTTGCGGCCACTGCACAATAATGCTGGTGGCCTCGTCGGCGCCCGTATGGTACTTTTGGACGGCCGCCACAACCTTGGGCTTCTCCTTCTCCTTCTGCAGATGGTACATGGTCTGGAAGACCCATGTCAGCGAGTAGATGCCGAGGTCAAGAAGGGCGCCTCCAGCCAGGTCCGGGTTGACCATACGGTTAGTGTCGGCGAAGCTAACGGTGCCATCAGGCTTGTCATTGCCGAACGACAGATCGGCTATTGTAGCCAGTCAGTCAACATCACGTCGGCATATAGTGAGACGGGATAACGTACCAACAACACGGTAGACGGGGCCAATGACTCCAGACTGGATCAACTCCCTGATCTTGATGCTAATGGGCTGATAGCGAGTCCAGACCGCTTCCATGAAAAAGACATTCTTCTCCTTAGCCTTGTCGACCAGCTTGTGGGCCTGCGAGGCCGTCACCGTGAGGGACTTCTCGCACAAGACATTCTTGCCAGCCTCGAGGGCAAGCATGGCATTTTGGAAGTGATGGCTGTGCGGGGTGGCCACATAGATGATATCGATCTCGGGGTCGGCGACGAGCTCGTGGTAGGATCCGTAGGCTTTGGCCGAACTGGGGGCCTTGATCTTGACGAGGAACTCCTCGGCCCTCTCCTTGGCGCTGGACGAGGCCACGGCAACGACCTCGTGGCGGACATCGTGCACTCCGCGAGTGGTGGTGGGATTGGTGAGCAGATCCCGGGTGAATGCTGATCAGGCGTGTTCTGGTCAGCTTGCTGCGTTGTCATTGTGGTCCAGATGCTCATGGGGTCATGGGGGAGACTCACCATCAGCAATCCACCCAGTTGCCATGATACCCCACTTGAGGGTAAATGGGGTGTTGGAGGCCATGGTTGCTGGTTATCTTTCACGCGATTCTCTCGGGCCAGAACAGATCAGACGCCAAATAATTGTCGATGGGAAATTTGACAATCAAAACAAGAAGATCGAGGCGAACTGGCGAGTGATAAACACAACGTTACATATGTTCCCCTCGTCGTCTTCGATGGGGTCGTTGTTCCCCTCATTCCCACTCACTAACAAATTGACTCCTCCTTGGCCCCATGGGGTTGATGGCGGCGGGGCACTCGCCGGTTTGGGCGCCCCTAGTAGGCTGTTATACGGGCCGGTCTCGCGGATAAAGCGGCCCCGAATTGCCATGGCAAGAAGACTCTAGTGGTTTGCCGGACCAGATCGGTCAATCGGCGCTAGCACTAACAGTTTCTACAGCTTTGCATCCCTTCCTCGTGTTGAATCGTCAGTTGTCGACCCCTGCCCCGCCCGCAAAGGGAATAGCTAAGAATGAGCCAAATGCGACGACCCCTCCATGGAAAACAGTCTTTGACTGGCCCATCCTCATTGATTGATTCCCTCGATTTTAACAAGTCCGTCGTATACCCATTTGCCATTGTCGAGTTTGTCACAGTCAAGCCCTGCTAGCCAAGCAATTCTAGACCATCCGATCTACCGACCATCCTTATTTCCCTTCGTTTCCCACCCAATCCACCTTGCTGTCGCCAAGAGCTGGTTAACAGAGCCTCGTTGCCTCGTTCATTCAACACCACTCATACCCGCCGCGGGCTCGACCTGGTTCTGACTCTTTCGGAATGCAGCCAGGCCGGCTATCAGGCATAACATTCAGTCTCGACTGTGCGATCAAATTTCAAAAAGTGGAAGCAGATGGAAGCTAGGTGCTTCTCTACTGATCACTCCTGCATCGGGCATAGAGGTATACAGTGTAGCTGTACTGGTTTTTCTTTGATTAGGCTCGATACGGGTCTGAAGAATTCCAGCCGGGTTCAGCTAGCACACAGTAACTGGCAAGCTCCCCTCCTGATACCTTCCCCCCATCTGAAGCCGGCATCTACCGCTGCAAGTCATCCGTGGTCTCGACGAGGTTGCCCAATAGAGACGAGGAAGCGCCGAGGGCAAGGAGGCAGTCAGGCAGGAGCAGCAGGAGCAGCTTCCATTTCCATCAACTGGCACGACTGGCACTCAACTGGCGCCCCTCCTTAGAGGTAGTGCTGCCACATCCCACAAGTCATCCGTACCCGAGACTAGCCCGTATCAGCTAATGGCCCTTCGCCTCAAAAGAGGACAATCTTTGTGTTGCTTTCCCGTGCCTCTTCCACAAATGCGTGCTTTTGCTTCTACTTCTTCTGCAACCACAAAGCTGCTGCCCCTGCTACCCTACCGTCTTCTCGTGCGACCATCTCCCAACCGTCCCGCCCACGCCCACGCCAACGCCCACGCCCACCAGAGCGGGCTCTCCTTTCATCAGCGTCAGACCAACACCTCTTTAACAAAGCCCACCACACAAGTTCGCGAAGCTCGGAGCACAAGCAGCGCTGCCTTTTCTCTCATTGCTACTAGGCAACTGAGAGGCACCCGTAATACAACCACCATGGCGGGCGCGAGTGCGTCAACCGACAGCCCTGCGGGGTCAGATCCCCTCCATCCAAAGGTCAATATGCCGCGAATGGTCTACGGCACAGCCTGGAAGAAGAACCGCACTGCCGACCTGGTCTACCAGGCCATCAAGGAAGGCTTCCGCGGTATCGATACGGCCGCCATGAAGCGACACTACAGCGAGGAGCTGACGGGTGAGGGCATTCGAAGAGCCATCAAGGACGGAATCGTCACCCGGGAGGAACTATATGTGAGTAGTTTTACCATCGCCCACCTAATTCATTTGCTCTTCAGAACCATATAAATTAACCCATATCTTGACAGATCCAAACAAAGTACACCCCCCACGACGACGCCTTCCTAGCCGAACCCGCCCTCTACCCAACCATAACCTCACAAGTCCTCGCCTCCGTGACCTCCTCCCTGCGAAACCTCGCCCACACCGAGTCCGAAGAGGACACAAGCTACATAGACTGCCTAATAATGCACTCCCCCTTCCCCGACCCTGTCTCCACGCTCGAGTGCTGGACGGCCTTACAGTCCTTCGTCCCGCACCGCATCCGCTCGCTGGGCATCTCCAACATTACCCTCCCGGAGCTGCAGTACCTGGTCGCCGACCCGCGCGTGACCGTGTACCCGACGGTGATCCAGAATCGCTTTCGCCGCGCTGAGCGCCGGTGGGACTACGAGCTGCGCCGGTGGTGCGCGAACCAGAACAGCACGCGCTGGAAGGGCGAGAAGAGGACGCGCTACCAGGGCTTCTGGACGCTGACGGGGAACAGGGCCGATTGGCCGACTCAGAAGTTTGTGAGGGAGTTGGCTATGGCGGTGCCCAAGACGGCGCAGGAGGTGGAGGCGCTGGAGGCGGAGGCGGCGGCGGCGGCAGAAACAGAAGAACAAAAAGAAGGGGAACAAGAAGGTGGGGGTGGTCTTGTTGACGGAGAGCCAGCAGGGACAGGGGATCTTCTTGAGAGCGGGGATGGGGAGTTGGGGATAAGTCTGGAAGCCGCCTGGTATGCGCTGATCATACTGGGAGCGGACGTTGTGGTTCTGAACGGGACGACAAGCCAACAACACATGAGGGACGATCTGGAATGTTTAGAGAGGGTAGAGAGGTGGAAGAAGACGCCCCAGGGGAAAAAAGCGTGGGATAGGTGTTTTGAGGGGTTCAAGGCGTTGGTGGGGATGCCGCCTCCTTGACCTGTGTCGGGTGTGCGTGTGACCAAAAAGGGGTGAGCGAATGGGCATGATTGGTGGGTGATATGTAATAGAGGATGGATCTTAGGCGGGAGTCCGTGGATAAGTTATCTGACATACTGGCGATGTCTTTCTCATCCATATACTACTGACGACCATTAGTGGTGGGAAGAAGCGGGAATTCAGGATGAACGGAACTGAAATCGGACGGCGACAAAGGGGGCCCGACGGAACCGGGATGTTAATGGCCAGAAGATGGTGAGCAAAGAGTTGCTATGGATACCAATGACTTCCCTCCAATATACCAAAACTGATTCTGCTCTGTGAGCACTGCATTACTATACCTCGACGAAAAGGTTCGAAAAAAAGGGAAACAGGTTTCGTTCCGAGTGAACTCGCTTCGCAACTTGGAAAGTGTGTAAATAACCCTAACCCGTGTGGATTGCTGAGCCATGAAAAAGGGGCACCAACGAAGCAATGCAAAGGGACGTTGTTCTCTTTACACCTGAACACTACAAAGATTGCTGACAGATATATGCTATACAAAGGCGAGCGGATTAAGTCATCTCTTCCAAGCACAATATGTGGGCTTAGATTTCCAACTCCTGACCACCAGGTCTTTCACAGATAAACTGTTTCGAATCCTTCCTTTCAACTGACTAATCATTCATCACTCCTCTCTTACTAACCGTAACTAAGTCCATACAGACACTTGACAAGTTTAATCAAACATCAACACCCATCCACCCTTCAACACCCAATCCATCTCTCTCTGTCCCTCCCCTCCACGCCCCCTACACTTCCATAAACCCGACCACCACCACTCACTAATCAGCACTAGCCCGAGCCAACGCCTCAGTCAAATGCGGCGGCAGCCTGTACCTCAACATACTGGTATACGTCGTCAAGTCCACCGTGATCTGCTTCAATTTCGCAAGCATCTCGCGCGCCGTGCCGGCGTTGCCGACGAACTGGCCCGTCAGCAGCCGCTCGCGCTGGCGCGTGCAGCAGATGATGGTCCACAGGAGCAGGTTTGGCACGTTAATGGCTACGGGCTGGGACAAGGAGGAAAACTTGGATGCGTAGGACCGGATCTTGGCGGGGTCGCCCATGCAATCGTCGGTGGGGAGGATGCCGAGGGAGCGGATTACCTGTGAGGGGGGAGGGGGGGTTAGTATTGGTTGCGTAAATTTTGTGGGGGAAGGAAAGGGGGAAAAGGGGAAGTGATAAAGGTTAAAGAAAAGAAAAAGGAAGGGGGGGGGGGGGGGGGGCGGGCAGTGAACATACATCAATAGCCTGGGCCCACTCGTTGCGCTGAATCATCTCCTTGATCTCGCTCATCTTCAACAACAAATTGCACGCAATCCTGTTCTGGCCGCGAATATGGTTCAAGAACATGGCGTCGCGCTCGTACATGGACATCATGGTGCGGGCCAGCTCAACAGGGTCGTCAATCGCGGCCAGGCTGAGGCTGGTTCCCTGTTGCGCGTTGGCAACCTCTCCCTCGGCACGGGGCTTGATGGGCACCAGGCGTAGAGGATCCTCGCCAATCTCGAGCGAGACGGCCTCGCTGAGGGCGCGGCTGACGATGGCGATGACGGTATCGTAGTCGCCCGCCAGGTGGTAGAGCAGAACGGCGTCCGTAGTCCGGCCGTTGTCGTCGGCGTATGTGGCGGCTTGGTGGGTGATTTGCGTGACGAACTCTTGCTCGTGGCCCAGAGCGATGAGAGAGCCGCGCTGCTCGATAACGCCGGGAATGCGGTGGCCGTCAGGCTTGATGTCGCCGATAAGCTTGCTAAATTCGCGGGACTCGAGGACAAGCTCACGGAGAGCCTCGTGGCAGAGTTGGGCCTGGGCTTGGCCGTTGCCGGCGGCGTCGTCGGCGTTGAGGCAGATGAGCACCAGGTAGTCGACGGCAGAGGCGGCGTTGGCAGCGCGGAAGTCGCGAGTGTAGTATCCTAGCATCCTGCCGAAGTTGATCTGCGGGAGACCACGGGTGCTGTAGGAAAGCAGCTCGTTGCCGGTGGTGAAGGCATCGGCGGGACGCAAGAGACCGTAGTAGCTGAGGGCGATGGCGAAGTGGACCGCATCGACATAGGAGAAGGGGTAAAGATAAGCAATAGCCTGCTCGAACATGCCCGCAAGAATCTGCATAAAGAAGAACATGCCGAAGCTACCATTAGTATCCTCGGCAGGGCTCTTGGGGAAGTGCTTGAGGCCAATCTCCTTGATGCTGGCCTGGAGCTCGGGAAGGCCGTATGATTCGCCGGCAATCTCGAGCTCCTTGGCAGACTCGCGGGCGAGGTTGAACTGCAGCCAGATCCAGTCGTTGACATCTGTGTTGAGGTTGTCAAGACTCCTGTTGTTAACATCGCACCGACCGATAATCTTGTAGCAGGCCATGCGGAACGGGTCGATGGTGCCTTCGGGGGCGTTGCGGATGCGCTGGTTGTACTCGCTAGTGCACCGATCTTGCATCTGGCGCTTGAGTCTGCGATCTTCGCTCGAGGCATAACTGTTGATGTAACCTGGGAACGTCCTGTCGATGCTGCGGAAGTGATGTTGCATGTCGTTGACGTACGTGGCCGCCTCGTTCACAAAACCAGCGCGCAAGAGATAGAAAACAACAGCCCAGATGTACTCGCCATTGACAGACTGGAGGTCGGTGTTGTCGGGAACCAGCGTCTTGCGGGCAATACGCAGCCTGATGTACGCCTTGATCTTGCTGACCACATCGGGCTTGCCTCCAAGGTTCGCGTCCTGGGGATGCTTGGCAATCAAAGCGTTGACCTCTTCGAAGAATTGCTTCTCCAAGTACCGGTTGGCGCCGTCGAGGATCTGCTTCCTCATATCGACAGCATTCTTGGAAAGGGTGCTGGGATCCAGGTACTTCTTGGCAAATGCCCGTTCCTTTGGCACTTGATCCAGATGGGGGTTCTCTCCAACGATCTCCATCATACCCCGATACGCCTCAACAATATGCGGCGCATGCTTGTCACCAGACCTGCTCTCCAAATCCGCGAAATCGCGGCAAACATAGACGGGCTCCTTGTGTTGCCGGGCATCGTTGATGTAGCGGACCTGCTCGGAAAGCTTTTCCTGCTTCTCACGAAGGAACCGGTCCTCCACCGAGCCGAAGGTGCTGACAGAGGTGCCGGCGTCCTTCTCGACATCCGAAAACTCTGGGGCATGGGAGCCAATCCGGCTTGGCGTGCCGATGATGGAGCGCTGCAAGCCTGACCTCGCATTCTGGGTAGCGCGAGGAGTCTGAGAGCCTCTGCGACGAGAACGACCGAACCCTCCCTCACGGACCGATCCGCTGGCACGCTCGGCCTCGCTCCTGGGCTGAATACCGAAGTGCTGGTAGATACGTTTCCGCTGTGCCTCCCACTCCATCGTCACGTTCTCCTCCAAGAAGCTGTCGAAGTCGCGGACGGACCGTTCCAGGCCGTCCGAAATCATGCTCAGCGTCGTCTTCTGCTGCAAGTTGGACAGGTATGTCTCAACATCCACCTCGTCCCTAGCACCATATCCGGTCTGTTGCCTTTCCGCCCGCGCCCCAAGGCCGAAGGCACCGAGATCTCTGATAGCAGCGCCTGGGTCGACGCCGGACGCGGCGAGGAAGTAGTGTGCCTTTCCATCAACGAGTGTCTGGGGGCCGACCTTCTTGAGTTTCTGACGAAGATCACCAAGGCCGAGCTGGAGACTTGGGAGGTCGCCGAGCGCCGTCTCCCCTTCGGCCTGCTTCTTGTTACGGGCGAGCAGGCTGTCGAAGAAGGCGCCGCTGGTCTGGTTGACGGGTGTAGATGTGTTGGCGGGGGCGGCGTTGTTCGTAGCTCCGAAGAGACTGGCGCTGGCGGTACCGGGAGCGCCCATGGTGGCAGGTTGTTGTGTAGAGGTAGCCGGGGCACCGAAGAGGGAGGGCTTGGCGGTCGTTGTCGATGTGCTGCCCAAGCCACCAAAGAGACCCCCAGTGGTTCCGGCAGCTGGTTGTTGATTGGCAGTGGTAGTCCCCAGGTTTCCAAAGAGACCACCAGTCGCTGGCTGGGTAGTAGTCGTGGTGGCTCCTGTACCGAATAGAGATGGTTTGGCAGCTGTGTTCGAAGGAGTGGTTCCAAACAAACCGCCCGTGATTCCTGCTTGGGTCGTCGCGGTGCCGGTTGTCGCAGCTGGTGTGGTTCCGAACAGACCACCGCTGGCCGGAGCTGTCGCAGTCGCGGTGCCGCCGAAAAGGGAGGGAGTCGCTGGAGTCGTCGCGGGCTTCGCGCCGAATAAACTGCCAGTCGCTGGAGCAGCAGCTGTCGTGCCGGTCTGGGCCGTGTTGGTCGCCGGGGTTCCGAACAGCGAGGTGCCAGTGGTGGTGCCAGCAGTACCACCAAACAGAGTGTTGGTCGCTGGCGCGCTCGTGGTCGCTCCGCCCAGGTTGCCGAAGAGAGACATGGTGGTGGTGTCGATTTGGACCAAAGAAAACCAACGGCGTGTGTGGAAGATGCGGTGGGACGCGTTTGGTCGACGCGCGTTTGCTGTGCTGGTCTAGCAAAGCGGTGCCGTTTGGAGTCTTTTTGGTGATTTGTTGTTTGGCGTCGCCTTGTCGATTTGTTTTTCTTGAATTGACACCGCGAAGGCGGTAGCCCCAAAGCTTTAATGTGGGGCGCCAAGGAGCAGGTACATCTACTTCTCGCTGCACACAGCCTTCATGACAAACAAGGTACTGGGTACCTGCATTGTCTACGCATTTGCTTCCATCCCAGCTTCGACAGCAGCCAGGAGCAACGCCCAAGGAGCCAGGCACTACCTTTCAGGTACCAAGGACAACCCCTCTACGCTATCTAACAGCATTCACGGTTTTGCTCATCATTCATGCCATAACGAAGGCATCATCATCCTGACCATCGGCACCGAATTACTTGCTGGCATCTAAGTCTATTGATTTACTGCCCACTACGTAACTCTAATCAACTCCACGCCAATTCCAGTTCTATATCTCCTGGCAACATCACGTATCCTCCTCTAGTTGGCCTCTTGACCCTCGAGCGATGACCCCTTGAGGGCCGCATCAACCTTCTTCCTATACTCCTGCTGCGTCCTAGCCTGGTCAAGGAAGATCTCGTACTTGGCATCCAGAAGCTTCTTCTCAGCGGGATCACCGCGGGACCAGACCGTCTTGCCCGGCTTGCTCATGCGGTCCATGATGTCCCACAGAGGCTCCGTTGTGCCATCCGGCTTGGCACTGGCCGCCTTCGCTCCCAGCATGGCCGCTCCGTGCACCACCGCCGCGTTGACGTAACGCGGGATCAGAACGGGCATGTCGCACGCCGTGGCGATCAGGTCCATCAGAATCTCGTTCTGGCATTGGCTGCCCGACATGAAAATGCTCTTGATGGTGTGTCCGGCCGCGTTCATGGCCTCGACGATCTGTCTCGTCTGGAGAGCGATGAACTCCATTGTGGAATAGTACAACAGAGCCATGCCGTCCTTGCTCTTGTCGTTGCTCATGCCAATGATGGCGCCACGCATGTTGGGGTCAGCAATGGGCGACCGGTTACCCCAGAGGTCGCCGTAAAAGAAAAAGTGGCGGACCAGGTACGAGATGGATGGCGCATTGGTCTTCTTGGCCATTTCCTTGAGGTGTTCGTTGAGGTAGTCGTAGATGTTTTTCCCAGCAGCTTCGGCCTCCTTGAGGGTTTCGTCATATGCGACATGAGTCTCCAGCATGTGCTTCATGAGCTCGCCTGTGGCCGACTGACCTCCCTCAGCCATCCAATAGCCCGGGATCAAAACATCCCGGTACGGGCCCCAAACTCCGGGTACGAAAACCGGACCCTTGGACATGGCGAGATGGCAGGTCGATGTGCCAGCAACGGCAGCTAAACGGGTAAAGGCCTGCGATACGTCGTTGGGTGCTACACTGTCGTCGAGGGCGTCAGGGGACAGCTTGACCTTGGCTCCAACTGTTCCAATCCACCCGGCGTATGCGTCGATAACACCGCTTCCAATGGCAATTCCAGCGGGCAGGCCAAGCTGTTGAGCTGCCTCTTCAGACAAGCCGCCAACAAGCTCGCCAGCGCTCATCCAAGAGCCGTTCTATTTAATGGTTAGCCATTTCGTAAACAGTCCGCTCTCGGATCAGGCACTCACTACCCCGTCAACACCGCCCATCCTCATAAAATTGTCCTTTACGAGGTCGCCCAGACCAATGGTCTCGTAAAAGTCCTCTTGCCATCCCTTCACGCTACCATCGACGCCCACGGGCACGAACCCCTGCTTACACACAGTGCTGCAGAAGCTTCGGGTCTCCTTCCCAGTCGCCAGGTAGGTCAAGGCATCCGTCAAATCGAAGAACTTGCAGCGGGCAAACAGCTCGGGCGGCATGTTGTTCTTGAGCCAGAGGACTTTGGGGATCTCCATCTCCACGCTCATCTTGCCGCCGACATAACGGAGCAAGTTGTGGTTGGTGTTGTTGATTTTGTCCGCCTCCGCCAGAGGGCGATGATCGAGCCACAGGATGACATTTCTGTCATTGCCGTCGTTCTTGAAATCCGGACCGGTTACGGGAACAGGTTCGTTGGTGTCGTGGGTGAAAACGGCCAGCGAGCATGTGGCGTCGAATCCGATTCCTTTCACCGAGTTCGGGTCCACTTTGGACTCGGCCAGTACCTGCTTCACGCAGTAGCAGATGGCATTCCAGATGTCTGTCGTTGATTGTTCCTGGATGAGGCGTCAGTTTCAGAGTTGGTAGATCTTGTTTTCACACATACGTAATGCGAGCCTTCATAGCCCGAGGAAGGCGTCCATAGCTTGATGTTTTGGGCCGCGAGGGCCTTGATGTCGCCCGTCGAGTCGATGATACAGGCTCGGGCTGAACCTGTTCCGACGTCGATACCAATGTAATGATTCTGTGACACTCTGCGGTGAGTTTTGTGTTCTCAGATGATCAGGAATGGCGAGGATTTCCCGAACCTGTGAAGACCTGTTCTGGAGTTAGCTGGTGACGTTACATGGCAGTGAGTGAGAGTGGTCTGTTTCCACTTACGACATAGCTTCTGTATTTGGTGAGGCCGAGGGATGACGGGGAACCGAGCTGGTGGACCGTTCGCGATTTGGTCTAAGTTCTCGAAGTTTTGACTACGAGAAACTAAGGGAGAAGGAATATCAAGAAATTTCAAGAGGAAAGATATCGAGATGGGAAGCTCTAGGAGGAGCTCTAGCTCTTTGTACCTGTTGGATCGCGGGGAAGCGATTAGGCTATAGCATGTACCCCACACTCTCTCCCCACGCTATAGCTTCTTCTCCAAACTTCTCCAGTGCCATCCCCCCATCTCAGTCAGGTACCCGGTCATCGGACTCGCAGAGATATCTAGGGCTTGGGAGAATTGCTAGATCAGCACGTTGATCTCCGTATTTCCGAGACGATGCAGCGTTCAAGGCGCGGCCAGGCGTTGGCTTCCCCTCTTCATCTGGCATATCTCAGTGTGCAAACGAGTACGTAAGGATCAATTGCGATCATCCCGTTCTTAATGCCAGGCGGTACCAAAGGTCAAGGTGTCTCCGAGGGACGCCGGAAAACAAACGTGGTGGTCCACTCTCGGCCCCGTCCCGCCGTGTCCGACTCTGCCCTACGGCGGAGGTTTTCCGGGGTCCCGCCAGTCGGACTTGGATTCTCATAGAACTCCGACAACGAACCATTAATTTCTCAGCTCAGTCCTAAATCCTACAATGATCATAAATCCAGGCTGTTGACGACGAGTCTGGTTGTTGCAGCTGATGCGCAACTCTCTTCATGGGACAGCGAGTTGCAAACAGTTGGTAATAGAGGGCCTGTGCGGTAGGGTCGCTAGAGGAGAGACGAAGGAAGATGGTGAATTGCAAACGGGACGCGGGGTGCACTAACAATTTTCACCACCAAAGATTCCCACAATCGGTACAGGCAGCAACAGCATCTCACCCTTCGCAAACCACCAACGCACAAACGCAGAGGTCTCACCTCATTTTCAATTCAGCAATGGCATCCCATGATGAGATCTGGGACGACTCTGCCCTAGTGAACTCATGGAACGAGGCATTGGCAGAGTACAAGGTAAGAACTCTCAAGTCCACCCATTATCAGGAGGGTTAGCTAACCACGCGCTGCACAACAGAAATATCACAGCATACACGCCGAAGGAGCAGCACTTCCCGAGGGTGTCGCTGGTGACTTCAAGTTTGTGATCCTCCTTCATCCCTAAAACCTCCAAAGTGGAAAACAAATTGAGACTAAGCATGATCCATTTTTCCAGGGATCAAAATGCCAAGCCTAGTGCTGCTACAGATGTCCATCAGCAGGAGGGAGAGGAGGTAGAAGAAGGAGAGGAGATGGAGGAGGACGGCGCGGCACCCGCTGTTGAAGTCAAGGTGAGTCAACCGAATAAATATTCATTCATCTCTTCAATGTTTCGTCAGCTTGAACAGACTAACCAAGGAATAGATCGTTGAAAGCCAGCAACCAGCAGCTGCTGCTGGTCCTACCGCCGCCACCGCGACGAGCTTACCCGGTCCCGGGCCCCAACTGATGTTGGGCTCTGTGCAAGATGAAGAGCTCAAGAAGCTCTTGATGTCATGGTACTACGCAGGTACGTGTCATATAAACCTCAAGCCAGGCCACACTCTTTGCTTGGACATGAACGTGAACATGAATGGCTAATTAGGATTGTTTCGTTCACCAGGCTACTACACCGGTCTTTATGAAGGGAAACAAAAGGCTTTGCAGGAACAGGCACAGAAGTAGTCAGTCGTCGACGAGCTAGAGTGACTTTCGTCGCGTTTTGTTTCTACCAAGCACCATCCACGACCACGTGGTATGTATGGTCTGGGAACTACCTACGCAACCACAGCAAGGGGGAATGTCAGGAGGAGAAAACGGAAATGATACCCACATTCTTAAACATTTTTTGTTGTCGGATGCCGGTGGAGCGGAACATCGATTATAGGCTGCATGATCGACTACCAAAGGTAACCACTTGCGACGGTCTGTGTTCCATCATGAACAACTCCGTGCCCAAGCCGGGCTTGACGGGGTTCAACGATACCGATAGCCTTTTATTTCTACGTTGTCGTGGTTATAGAGAAACACTCTTGTCGCCTTCCTCGTTCGTTCATTTGGTTGCTGTACGGTCACCTAATGAGTATTGGGAAATAGGTCGGTGATGAAGCTATAAATCAAGACGTTGTAGATAGCTGTCATATATGACCGATGCCCCATTCCCTTTACTACATATTTGACTGATATACTCCAAGCCCAATCTCCTTCACCAAGAGGCACGCAACATCACCGAGCTTGATATGAACCGGGGCAGCATACCCGCTACTCTGTCAGCCCGTCTAGCCAAGTTACCTCTGACCGGCCCAAGAAACATCCGCAAGTTGCTTTACGACGTCAAGTGGGCCTTTCATCTCGATCTTGACCTCTACCGCAGAATGAACGCCGTAAAACTACATGCTCCCAACTGAGCCGTTGAAGGTTCGTAGAGGTAGTGTATAAACATGACCTGTTTGACTTAGTATTGTCAAGAGGACACATTACTTCTCAGTAATCCGCTCATGAACATCGGAACTGAACGTAAAGACAAGACCCAAAGGCATGAAAATTAGCGCAGAGAACTTGTCATGGAGAACTTGAAAGGGTTTCCTCTACAGTTTCTTTGGAGTCTTAAAGGGGAGAGCTAAGCGCCAATGGGTTGCCCGTTACAGATACCACCTCAACCCTTGCGGTTCGCTTGCTACTAGATAGGGCGAGACTTGACCATGCGGACTCACTCCTCCAAAACCTTCTCATTTGAATTGCTATTTGTCCTTTGTTTCTCGAAATATAAGAACAACATTTGTTGAGAGTCAACTGAATCTCATTAAAATTTCATTCTCAGACAAAACGTCGTCAAAGTGGTGGTTGTTCAAAACTGATGAAGTACCTCCCTATCAACCTACGTCAAAGCGCTCGCCCAGAGCAAAAAGCCAAAACACGCTCTGAGACGAATCTGTCACAGCACACCTCCTGGCTCCCCGCATCTTTCCCATCTCCGTCCTCCGTGAACACGCACCCCGGATTGAATCGAGGCTGAGCTATACATACTACCATAACCTTCCATAGCACCCATAATGAGAGATCCAGACAATTGCGTCAGGGATTAGTGGAAACAAATTGAACCGAGCGTTATCCCAGGCTTCCCAACTACTATGTAGCCATTCCCATATAAGCCAAGTACGGAAACTCAACGCCTCCGTCACGTCCACTGATCCCTGGAAAATGTTTCGTGACAACCTCCTTTTTCTGGCCACTAGTAGTCTATCTCAAGGGACCCTGTCATAGTTGTTGCCATGACATTGACGCCCCGGATGCCGAATGTCAAGTGTGACTGAGATTGAGATGGAAAGCAATGGATGGCTTGCTACGTTCATTCATGCTGCATCCCCGGAATCGTGGGATTCCGAAACTTCGAAACGTAAAACTCAAGAAGGGACTTGTTTCCTATTTTTCTCTTCATCCATTGTCTTCTTCCTCTCTGTGTGTGTGTCTGTTCCACTCATTTTTTTTCTAGTCTTTTTCTCTCTCGTTCTTCCTGTTGCAACCTTCGCTTCTTTATACTATCAACAACGAGCAGGGACTCGCCAATTGTTTATACGTACGACATTATATCCAGACTTACATACCTTGCCGTTCATATTCGCACTCCAGCGCATCCCTTTCCCGGTCGATAGGGCAGAGACGAATTCTCTCACGAATATTCGATAATACTCGTCGTCATTTGCAAAGCAGAAGGGAACAAGAAGTTTACCGAGAAGGAACCAGAAGAAAGAATAAAACAAGATACCCAAGATGAAGGCTACGACAGCAGTTTTGGCCGCCTTGAGCATGGCCCCGTTCGCTCTCGGAAAGGTCGCTCAGAAAGTTTACCCCGCCGTCCACCGAGGAGACATCGCCCTTGAAGTCCGCGACAAGGGCAGTGACAACAAGAACAACAACGGCAACGCCAACGCCAATGACAACAAGGACAAGAACAACGGGGGAAACTCCAAGAAGGCAACAGAGAAGGAGATTGCCGAACTTGCGGCGCTCATCGGCCTCACCGCAGGCCTCAATGCCCAGCTCAACCTCCTCTGGGTCAACCTGGGCGGCGGTGCCGCTACCACCATCATCAACTCGGAGAAGACCGTCACTGTGACCGCCACCCAAGCCGCGATGGTGGTCAACGGTGCCGCCGGCGGCGCCGACCCGGTAGCAACAGCACCTCCTGCTGCTAACGTGCCCTCCGCCGCTCCCGCGACTCCCACCGAGCCCGCTGGCGTCGCTGCTCCGGTAGGAGGAGCCGCCTCCACGCATACCGTCACGGTCGGCGGACCGCAGGGCCTGGCCTTCAGCCCGGCGCAGACGCAGGCGGCCGTGGGCGATACCGTCATCTTCACCTTCCTCAGCCAGAACCACACCGTGACGCAGTCAGCCTTTGATAAGCCCTGTGTGTCGCTCCCGGGAGGCATGGACTCGGGTTTCCAGGCCAATCTCAACAACACCGTCAACCCTCCGCCGCAGGTTGCTATGCAGGTCATGGTTGACACTCCTCTCTGTATGTTATTCCCATTTCCAATTTTCTCTTCCCACCTCCTTGACCGACTCGTCTTGCTAACACCATCCCAGGGTTCTACTGCCGCCAAGCAAACCACTGCGGCAAGGGCATGGTCTTCTCCATCAACCCTACCGCCGAGAAGACCCAGGCTCAGTTCCAAGCCCAGGCCATTGCGCAGAATGGCACTGGCACCGACAGTGGCATTACCGGCGGCAAGGCTTCCGCTGCTCCTTCCGCTGCTCCTTCCGCCTCTGCCTCCGCGACCGTTGGCGGTGATACAACCGCAACGGCCGTGGCTGGTGGCGCGGCCCAGGCAACTGGAAACATCGTGACTGGTGTCGGCCAGGTTGCCGCGGACGGTTCGTGCGTATGCGCCGTCTCTTGCGCTGCCGGTTCCTTCCCCAACATGGCAGCCCAGGGTGTGAACGCCTTTGGTGGCGTTGGTGGTGAGTAATTCGCCTGCACCTCGATTATCCGTGACTAGAAGCTGACCTCATTCAAGGTTCGATTCCTAGAGCCATGGCTCTTGGTGCTCCTGCTGCCTAAGCAAACACCTTGGGTGCAAGCATCTGATGCTCGGAGTGTCTAAGACGAAGTCAGCGATAGAGATGGGAATGCCATGTTCTTTTTCTGTAGTATCAACTATGCTACTTGTATATTTTAACTTTTCTTGACCGTGCTGATCATGTCACCAAGCACGCCTTCCCCGTGGGGATGTTGTTTGCGAGTTGGCTTGTATTATCAGTTCCCGCATAAAGGGGCAAGGGACAGCGTGTCAGTTGATCGCATATGACTGGGTCGTATTCTGGATGTCGCTGGAAGCGTTACACACATTAATAAATCTTCTTTTTTGCGAAATGTTGTCCCTCCTTTGTTCTTACCTTGTTTCTCAAATGCCGTAAGAATCAACAAAGGAGCTGCGACAGTGAGGTCAGTCAAAAGACAGAAGTTTGACAAGCCAATTTGTACACATGCAAAAAGGTGGTAAGGACAACCATAGCCGACCGAGCATGCATCGGCCCACGCAGAGAAAAGCGTTCCGGGGTTGATAGTGGTTCCAAGAAAATGTGTCAATTCAAGATGATATTCCCACGCTCACGCCATGAATGCCCAAGCTTTGCTCCAATAAATCAAGATACTCCCCAAGTCTTCCTCCCTGGTCTGTGACGCCGTAAAACACTCCGAACGGTATAAAGATGGATGGAAAGACCGATCCCGGTTGATAAACACGGGGGCATTCTCGCAACTGCTCATAGTCGCTGTAGACTATGGAGATAGTTGCTCGTTCGTTCGTCCGTCCGTTTCGTTGATGGGTATGAGGTGAATAGAGATAATCGCGCATCGAGATAAACGAGTTCCCGTTGATGAGATTCGTATGTCCTCCAACCACGTTGGTAGTTGGGCTGTTTGATATGGCAATTTATTTCTTGGCAGCCTCAGCAGCCCTCTTCGCGTCGGCTAAGCGGGAGAAGGATAGTCAGCAAGGGCGTAAAGACGAGCTGGAAGGGGGCTATCAGTGCGATGACGATGATCGAAGAGATGGTGACTTTGTGTCATGACGGGCGGGGGATAGCATGGAGACGCAGAGGATAGAACATACCGGCCGCCTGCTTTGCCCTCATGAGGGCGGCGACAGTTTCCTTGTCGCGCTGCATCTCAGTACCGCTCTTGCTGTTGACCTTCTTCTGTTGCAGGGGAAAAGGCGGACATTAGCAAAGCCCTTGGTTGATGTCATGCTTCGATGTTGGGAAGACATACCTGAGCAGCTTGCTTCTTGAGGTTAGCCTCACGGGCCTTCTCACGCTGGTTGCCGCGGGACATTGCGTGTGGTGGTTGGGTTGGCGGTAAAAGGATGAGGTGACGAAGCGAAGAAATTAGACGCGGAAAGTAGCGCGTGCGGGTAAAAGCAGGGCGAGGTCGAAGAATAGAATTAAGGAGCGTTTCAAAAGTCCGTAGACCCGGTCGGGCGGTTGTTGTGCTCCCTGGAAAGATCGCGCGATGAGGAGAAATTGGGAAACTGGGTGGGTGGTCGGGGGTCGTTAAAGAGGTCCTGAGTTTAAGCCTATTTCGGACGTGCACCGTCTAACTCTAGCCACCGCACGGACAAACACCAATGTCACTTGTAATTTCTAAATCCCGTACGCAATCGCGCTTAGCGCGCGAACACTACGGGTAATACGCGCTAAAACTGCGGGCTAGTGCCGGCTGACATACGCATCGCGGGCTGGCATTATAACAGTGATACCAGCATTGTTATTTAACGATTATAATAACTATAAAAGAATTCTCTTATTAAAGTTATCGTCGTTATATTACCCTCTTTTTTCTCGTTATATTAAAATTAATCTTATATATTCCGGTACTCTAATAGTATAAGAAAGCATTAAAGTAATTAAATTATATAAAAGCAAAAAAACGTAAAAAAATAGGTAAAAGCGCCTTTAAGCAGCGGAAACGCTACTAATAAATAATACTCTAACGATTCGTTATTTTATATATTTTCTATTTTAATATTTATATTCTTTCCTTTATTAATATTATATTTATTAATATTACGCTTATTAATAACCTTATTAACCTTATTCCAATTAACTTTATTCTAATTAAATTTATTTTTATTAAGTTTACCTACACTATTTTTACTACGCTCGTTACTATAATTGTTGTTGTTAAAGGATTTCCCCCCTATATTTTCGTTATTATTAAAATTTTTATTAAATAAAAATATACCTGAAGTTTTTTTCGAAAAAAAACAAATAGTAGCGGCCTAATAACTAATTAATTATTATCTTGCATTTTAAAAGGTTTTTTATTTAAACTTACTATATTAGTATTATAAATTTAGAAATTTCTTCTTATATTGTATATATTTTAAACTAATTTTTTAATAACTTCTTATATTAAATAAATTAAATCCGCTATGTTCTCCGTAATTTATACTTAATATTTAAGGAATTCTAATTTCGCTTCTCTATATTTTTCTTCTTTAGTCTTCTTAATAACCGAAGTGTAAGGAACGGTACTAAAAATTTATGGGAAAGTAGCGGGGCCGGGAATTAAAGGGGTAATAATAATACTATTACTATTCTTCTTATATTAATATATTTTTTTAACGAAATTCTAACCTTAGTTATAAAAAGCGTTAATACATTTTTTTTAATTTCAAAGTACGGTTCTTCTCTTATTAAGCCTTTAAGTTAAGAATAATATAATACGGAACCTAAGCGTATTAATATTTATTGAATAATAATTAAACTTTGAAAGTCTAATTTATACCCTTATATAAGGTAATATAACTACCCTTCGTATATTCTTAATAAGTACTTCTTATACCCTTTTAATTAAAGTATTTTTTAAATATTGATAATTTTATTATTAATAATTCTATTAATGTAAACGCTATAAAATAAATTCTTTTCTATACCGGACTCTTTCGTTGGCTTCTTATTCGGGGTAGGCGCGTTCTCTATCTCTATTTCCAATCCCTTATTATCTTTCTACTATATATTAATTTCTGGAAAATAACGGGAAAGTAAAGTAGCTATTTTACGCGAATTTTCTTTAGAATTCCCTTCTCTTTATTTCCGCTTACTCTCTTATTACTAATACGTATATTAGGGGGTATTTCAATAAATTTAAATTATATATTAAATAATTGTAAAGTCTATATTAATTACCATTTAAATTCGTTTAATAAAAAGGTATAAATATTTATAATAGTAGGAAAAACGCGTAGTGTAATAGAATTCGCTATATATACGTAAATAACGTTAATAAAAATTAAGAAGGCGATAATTATATAAGGGATATGTATAAAAGTTCGTAGTTGTAAAATTATAAAAGGAAAAAAGAAAGAAGGCAAAAAGGCGCGACGAAAAAAAGTATAAAGGAGTAAGGATTTCTTAATTAGGAATATTTATTTAAATAAATTTATTTTAAACATATTATATAGATTTCTAAACGGAAGGTATAAATAGAAGGTATAGATAAAAAGTAGAAATAGAAGGTGCAAACGAATTTATTGTATTGTAATTATTATTACGAATTTAAAATACTTTAATATTTTTTATCTTATTACTTATATAAAATATTAATATGGGGTAGTAACTCGTTAATATGCTATAAGTATTTTAAATATTCTTTTAAATACATAACTATATACTACGATACAAATTACAAAACTTTATAAAATAATTAAGTAAGGTATAATAAATATATATTCAATATTTTTATTAAATTTTACCTAAATATAATACTTAAGTATTAATTATAAGCAATTATAATTAATAATTATTAATAACGTATATAAAAATATAGTTCCTAACATAAGATTATAATTATACTATTTACTATACTATATTATAAAATATTTTACTAATTGCCTATGTCTAAAGGGTATTACCTTAAAAAACGTCTAAAAACTCTAAATTTATACTACTCTAAATGCACATCTAAAAAGTATCTTTTTGGTAGCTTATAAATATTTAATAACAACCCTATACAATCAAATATATTAATAAAAGAGGATACTAAAAAATAAAATTTCTTTTTAAAAAATGAAAAAATAAAACCTATGCAAATATTAAGGATTTTAAAAATTAGGAAAAAGAAACCTAAATAGCTATTAAAAAAATCGAATTAAAAAAGAAGAATATAGAATTAAAGGTTAAGTACCAACGTTAAAGTAGCGAACTAGTAGGTTATATTCTATATATATATTCATAAAAAAAATATTAAGGATTTTAAAGATTAAAAAAAAAAAATTCCGGATAATTATTAAGAAAATTGAATTAAAAAAGAAGAATTTAGAATTAAAAATTAAATACTAACGTTAAAGTAGCGAAATAGTAGGCTATTCTCCTATTTTACTTTATATTTTTCCTACAATTTAACCCGCACGTTATTTAACAACTAAATTAATCCCTCTATCCTAATAACGCTAATAACGTTAATACTATTTCGAATTATAAAGTAGAAGTTATGTAATACCTGGTCTAACTTATTTAGACCGCTATTGTTAGCCTTTATAAAATCTAAAATCTCTTATACCTTTGTAGTTAACTATTCATTAACTTCTTAAGAATTTAATTTATACTTTCGAAGTATATTAATAATATAATTAAAAGTAATTTTAAATAGTATACGAATTTCTTTATAAACTTCGAATCTATTCTTAACCTAAAGACTAATTAATTGAATAAAATAAAGAAATTGTAATAAATAAATAAAAATTAGTAATACCAAATATAAATATAAAGTAGTTGTTAAATAGCGAACTAATGGTATTTATATTATAGTATATTTATAAAGCGCTTACTAATACCTATTGGGTTATTTTCGAAATTCTAAAGTCTTAGATCTTATAATTTAAAAAAATCGTTCTCTTCAAGCGGTAGTTATTCGGGTATAAGGATAATATTCGGCTCTTTATTTTCTATTTTATTATTAAACAAAAATTATTAGCGAATTAGTAATTAAAAAGACACAGGATAAATTGTATTTATTAAAATATTCTTTTAATAATAGTATTTCTTAACTAAGTATATAAGTATATTTAAATTTAAGGGGTTATTATTTACGCTGCTATTCTTTAATAGTATAATATTATTGAAAAACGAAAATGTATATGTAAATTAGCAATTTATTAAACCTAAATTCTGGAAAAACTAATATAAACGGTCCCTAATAAAATTTTAAACGGGATTGCTATTTATTAATATAACGAAAATAATTGTATACATTATTAATAATTATATAGAAAGTACTAATTAAATTATATAATGCGTTTATTTCTTACTTTGAAATAGCGTTAATAATTTCTAAATAAGTATACTAAGATTTAATTGTATTTATAATATTCATTTATAAACATAGCGGGACCGTATATTTAAATTAATACGCTTAATATTTAATATAACTTTATTAATTTCTATGTAAATACTTGATTTATATTAAATTAATATAAATAATAGCCTTGTTAATAAATTAGAAGTAGTTTTCTTCTATTGATTAGTTATATAAAGTTATAATTATAATTCGTAAAGTACGGGTATTATTTTAGAAGTATTCATAAATTGTAGCTTAAAAATATTTTTTATATAATAAATCTTCGACTATATTTATTCTATAGTAAGTAATATTGAAATAAGCCATATACCCTTTTATTCCGCTATTAAATCGTTTATAATTATATACTTTAAAGTTTAGCCCTGTAAATTACTATATTATTCGATTAATCCTTTTATATATTCTCTAATAATTTCGCTAATTTAATTAAATGTAAAAAGAAAGTAATAAAAAGCTTTAATCCGCAATTATCTTGTACTATAATTGTAATTAAAAAGAAGGTAAAATAGGTTGTATTATATATTAAATTTATAATCATAATTACGCTACGTTCTTATAAAATTTCTAAGTAATTCTCTTTTATAAAGACTAATCTAATAATAAGTTTATCCCTCTTTTTTTTCGTTTCTAAGTTAAAATTAGGAAGGAAAACATATTTAACTTTCTAATTATTAAAACTATTAAATTTTTAAAAATATTTTTCGTATTCTACTATAAAAAAATCTTCTTTATTAGCGATACGCGGTTTTTTTTCTAATTTAAATTTTAAGGACCTTATAATATTAGCGAACTTTTAGGTAGTAAAATAACGACCTCTATAACGATTTATCCGCTCTCTATAAGTAGAATAGTTACGCTTAAGGATTATTTTTTCTATTGTTGTAATAAAGTAATTTACTAAAAGGAGAAACGTAATATATTTTTTTATAATTATTAGTATATTATTTTAGTTATAAAAGTTTATAATATAATTA